ATGATAAGCGCAGTCTTGAATACGCACCTGAGAAGCTAGGATGGTGGGCAGATGCCTCTGGGTGCGCTCAGCTTGATGAAGATAAGGGACCTTTGAAAGGTGACCCCCTAAATACGCCTGCTTTGCTTAGCTGAGAGTAGTTATACTCTGCAAAAGGGGGCAGGGTATTTCATAGAGACTCAGGCAGAAAAAAATGTGTGTGTGTATAAGGCTGGGCAAAGGAAAAGTTGAGTCACACCCACCTCCTCCACCCAAGTTTCAGGCAGCATCCTGGAGAACTTGGTCCTCCTACTGGCTGAGCAACTGGAACAGTGCATCTACCAGCATAAGGATTCTTGGAGGAGCATTCTAGGGATGGTGGTATCAACAAATGATGCATTTGCTCTTTTTTTTAACATTTATTTTTTTATTTTGTTTTTTTTTTAAATTGATTTTTATTGAGCTCTACGTTTTTCTCTGATCCTCTCCCTGCCTCTCCCCTCCCCCCTTCAACCCTACCACCAAGGTTCCCATGCTCCCAAATTTACCCAGGTGCTCTTGTCTTTTTCTACTTCCCATGTAGATTAGATCGATGTAGTCTCTCTTAGTGTCCTCATTGTTGTCTAAGTTCTCTGGGATTGTGATTTGTAGGCTGGTTTTCTTTGCCTTATGTTTAAAAAACCACTTATGAGTGAGTCCATGTGGTAATGGTCTTTCTGGGTCTGGGTTACCTCACTCAATGTTTTCTAGCTCCGTCCATTTTCGATGCATTGCTCTTATGGAGCCACTGTAAAAGTGAGAGCAGTTCCACACCTAGATCAAGCTCCAGCGGAGGCCAGGTTCACCTTGTGAAGTCTGCGGAGTAGCGGGTCACAGTTAAGTGGTGCTTCAGTTATTGGCTGGAGTCTGATGCTGTCCAGGAGGTTGGAGGTGGTAGCGCCTGCCCTGTGATTGGCTATGAACTTGACCCTGTGCACCTTACTCCCTCCCTAAGCCTTGCGCCCTGCAGAACCACTTGTCAGGGTGAGACACTTGGCCTAGCACTGATCCACAAGGAAGCAGCAGCAGGCCCTAACCGCACTCCAGCCTGAGTTGACTGTGAAGAAAACCCTTGAGGAGGGCTTGTCTATTTATAACATGGGTGTGCCCCAAGAAAGACAGGGTGAACAGAACAGAGTTATGATTCCTCAGATGGATGCCTTGAGTCTGAAATATTTCCCACAGGAGTTTTTAAATGCATGTGACCCTTATGTTGCTATTTTGGGAGACTGTGGAACATCTAGGAGGTTAGCCCTGGCTGGCAGAAATAGGTCACTGGGGTGGGCCTTGATTGAATACCTGAAGGCTAAAGTACTTAGAATAATGTCTAACACAACAAGCCCTCAATATAATATTATTTTTATAATGATTTTAAAACTAAAATCACCTTACCTTAGGGGCTGGAGAGAGGACTCTGTGGTTAAGAGAACAGGCTGCTTTTTTCAGAGGATCTGTTGTTCGACTGAATCTCAGCACCCACATGTGGGCACTCAAAATCATCTGAAACCCCAATTTCAGGGAATCTAATGCCCTCTTTGGCTTTTTTGGGGGGGCACTTCATGTATGTGGGTACATAGACCTACATGTAGGCAAAACACCCATATACTTAAAAAAGTTAAGAAAACAATCTCATCCTATATACATTTAAGACCTTAGAGTTCTTTGAAGAAGAAAAGAAGATATGATCAGACAGGAATAAATGTGACTTTTAATTTCTTAAGATTACGTTCTACTTGATAATGTGTACGAGGCATTATGTCAATAAATGGGACTAACTAAATAAGGTCTAGTTTCTTCTCTAGAGGACTCAGTGTTCAACTGGGGACACACAAATCTGTGTAAAGGACCAGGTCACGATGGCCTGTGTGCTGTGTATTAGTCTGCTCTAGTCCATGGCAGGAAAAGTTCCAAGACCACAAGTGGATAACTGGATGCCAGAAACTGTGGGTGGTACCAATCCCCCATAAATACAGGTTTTTACTAAAGCTCAACATAAATTAGTCACAGAAAGAGGCAACAAAATACAGAAGGCAAAACTGGGGATAAGGGGTATTTGAAGCATGTGCTGGCTGGAGGTGTGTGTGTGTGTGTGTGTGTGTGTGTGTGTGTGTGTAGGGGGGGTCAGTGTCCCAGGCCGAAGAAGACGACAGCAGCTGGGGCTGGGAGAGGACAGTGTTGTCGTAAAAGGTGGACCTTAGGTTGCTGACTGGCAGCAGAAGTTGCTCATAGCCAAATCTCCGGGATGGGAAGAAATAAAGGGAACTTCTCCTAGACTGGTCTTCTAGAGCCTGGAATTGCCAACTGGGAATTTGAATTTCACCCTGACAGCAAAGGTCACGGGTGAAGTTTCACAGAGTGATCAGATTATGGGTCTCAGCATTCATTATCGTTGGAGAAGATTCTGGAGTAGGGGTTGCTGTCTAGAGGCATGCTGGTTTCCTAATTCCATCACTGGTACTCAAAGAGAGGGTTGAGTCAGCAGAGCCAGCTCTGGCCAGAAGGCTGTCAGACACATGAGATCTTAGGTCTTTCCCAGATTTACCAATGAGCAGCGTTCTACCAGGATCCTGGGGACTCAGTTTACATCAAAGGAGGAACCCAAGGAGTCTGCTGCAAGCTGCCTATGAGTTCTGAGCTGAGCTGTGGGAGTTGGAAGTGGTGTTGCGGTGAAGAGTTGCTCAGGAGAAACGCTAGCTGAGGGGCTGTTGGCCTGGGAACATGGGGGCAGCTTATCCTGGTTCATCTCAGCCTAGGTATTTGTACTTATTGTGGGCACACAGACATGCTTCAAGATGCTTCTGCACATAAGGCATTTAAAAAACATCAGATTTCCATGTCCATCCTAGGGCCACACCTTAAGTTAAGTCCTGCTCCCCAGGTACTTCACCACATCAGATTTCTTCTGCATATCACGAATGGTTCCACTTACGACCTTGAGTTTGGAAGTTTCCTTAGCTCTAGTCTTCAAGATGTTTTTAGACTTGCCTCCGGCCTTCCTTTAGTGAGGACAAGGCAAGATCTTTAAAAAAAAATTTAATCTGCCAGCACCCCTTCAATTTGGAAACAAAGTTGTTTCCCCTTTCCAGAAAGTTAGTTGGAAAGAAACAAGGCTGTGGACTCAAGGAGAAGGAAAAGCCACAATCTGATGTCTGTGTTCTGTGTTTCCCAGTGGAGACCCAAAGGCCAAGGCATAGGAACCGTCCAGCACATTTCCCCAAGTGGATGAGCCTAGCCCCTCTCCGCTATGGTTTGAATGTGTACTGCTGGAGCTTCCATGCTGAAAACGAATCCCTAAATCATGACATTTGGTGAGGTAGGTAGGACCTTTGTGAGGTGATTAGTGTTAAATGAGGTCATGAAGGTGGGGCCACATCAGCTGCATCTGTGCATTTATAAGAAGAGGAACTGAGACCTGAGGCAGCAGTTTGCTGCATTTCTAAAGATGGGGCCCTTCACAGATGATGGACGGGTATCAGCACCATCTCCTTAGCTTTCCCAGCCTCTAGAAATCTAAAACCCAATATGCTTCTATTATTAACTTGGTCTTCTGTGTTTTGTTCTAGCAACAGAAATAGATTTAGATGGCATCAAAGACTGTAGCCCTACCCTTAGACTTTTCTGGAGCTACTCTAGAATGGAATGACATTGCACTGTATAGGAAAAGCCGGAGAAGCTTGAGCTATTTGTTTTCTTTCTTTAACTTTATACGGCGATTCAAAAAAATTGCTCGGTAAAGCTCCCTGGGTATATCAATCTTGCAACTGGCAGCTCACCACAGAACATTTAAGCTTGCCACTCTGTTCTCTTAGAACGAGCACTCTGCCAAGTAGTTAATCATGCCTACATCTCAACTCTGGGAGAAGAGGGCTGAAGGAAAGTGGGTGTGAGTTTGGGTGTGGGGAAGAGTTTCCCACCTAATATGTCAAGGGTAAATCTGAAAGAAACACTTAGGATTTAATCCAGCAAAGACGTCTTGCCAAAGAGAAAGACAAGGCAACACGTGAGAAAGGGTTATAACACAGAGCAGCAGGTAGACCTGGCTGGTCGCTTTGGCTCTGTTGACACAGGAAGCTAATGCTCTGTCATACTGCGTGTGCTAGAGATGTCACACTGTAAGATGTTCAGTAGTGTCCCTGGCTCAGTCTCAGTTATAAGAATGAAATACCTCTCTAGATTTATCAGTGGCTCCAAGACAGGGAACAAAGAGGTCCCTGCAAAGAATTGTGGTGTTTGGTCTCCATTGTCAATTTGGCATCCTTTACAGTTACCTGGGAAGAGGTAATCTCAGTTGAAGAGTTGCCTTGATTACTTTGACCTGTGGGCATGTCTGTGGTGGTTTGAATAGGAAATGGCCCCCAGAGGCTCATAAATTTGAATGCTTGGTCATTAGGGAGTGGCTACCTGACAGGGATTAGGAGGTGTGACCTTGTTGGAGTAGGCACAGCCTTGTGAGGAAGTGTGTCACTGGGGGTGGGCTTTGAGGTTTCAAATGCTCAAGCCAGGCTCAGTGCCTCTCTCTTTCATGTTGCTTGCAGATCCAGATGTGAAACTCTCTGTTACCTCTCCAGCAACATGCCTGCCTGCATGCCACCATGCTTCCTGCCATAACAGTAATGGACTCAACCTCTAAAACTGTAAACCAGCTCCGGTTAAATGTTTTCTTTTATAAGAGTTGCAGTGATCATGGCAGCTCTTGACAGCCATAGAACACTGTCTAAGACAATGTCTTTGGTCCATCATCCTGACTGATGATTGCTATGGTATGGTCCAGCCCATTGTGGGTAGCACCATCCCTAGGCAAGTAGGGTGTATAAAAAAGCTAAGTAAGAATAAGCCAGTATGCAGTATTCCTCAGTGACTTCTGCTTCAGTTCCTGCCACCAGGTTTCTGCCTTGAGTTCCTGCCCTGCCCTCTCTCAGTGAAGGCCTGCTACCTGAAAGTATAATCAAACAGCCCATGTCTTCTACAACACATACTCTTAGTCAGAAGGGTTTTTTTTTTTAATCACAGTAAACAGAAAAGCAAACAAGATCAATTGGGTTAGCTGGATGCATGTCCCTCTATGATCTTGGCCAATCTCTTAGTCCCTCTTGTGTTTAGTATCTTCGTTTGCAAAAACAGGGCACTACTGCTTGAACGTGGTTCATGTTTCCGATCCCTGAAGGCTATTATGTAGAAACCTTTCCATCCAGGGTGACGGTGCTGGAGAATGGTGTAGACCTGCAAGAGGTGGGGCACACTTTGTGTGTTGGAAATATGTAGCCTTTCTTTTTTTTTTTTAAAAAAAAAAATTTCTACAGGGTCTTTGTTTGCTGCTTATTTGAAGAGACTGGACTTTACATCAGTGGTAAGACTGTTAAAGATTATAAGACTTTTGAAGTTCAGATGAAAATATGTTCTTCATTATGAGATAGCTGTGAATCTATGGGGGCCAGAGGAGGAATGTTGTGGTTAAAAGTGAAATGGTCCTTAAAGATTCGTGCATTAAAATTCTTGATCCCCAGTTAGTGGCGCCATTTTGGAAGGCTGTAGAGCCTTCAGGACATAAGATCTGTAGGAGGAAGTGGGTCACTGGGGATGGGCCTGGATCCCTTGTAGTCTGGTATCACTTCCTGACATCACTGTCTGCTTCCTGACAGAGATACCATGTAAACAGGTGCCTCATGTTCCTGCCCTGCCTGCCCTGCCACGAAGGAGTGGACCAGGTTGCCCTCAAACTCACAGAGATCTGCTTGTCTCTGCCCCCCAAAATTGAGGGAATTAAAGGCACCACTATGTCAGCTGAGGGTATCTTTTCTCAAACCTTAGCCAAATAAATCTTGCCTTGAGAAGAAAGAAAAGATGGAAGAAAGGGAGGAAGAAAGGAAGAAAGAGGAAGGCCTAGTACGAGGTCCTTAGGCTATTGGGAGTTCGTCCTTAGAAAGATTTGTGGGCTCTAGTTTCTGCTTCCTGGCATGAGATATGATTGCTCATTCTGGCACATTCTCCCTGACATTGCCACCCACCATTCATCAATCACCGTGTCCCTGCTAGAACCAATGTGTTATAGGTACCATGTCCTAGAATATCCCAAATTGAGCTAAATAAATGTCTTTTCTTTGTAAGTAGGTTGGGTCAGGTGTTTTATTATAGTAATGAAAGCTGACGCAGTGATATGCCACAAGATCAAGTCATAGGATTAAGTACTTACGTATCATCTACCAGCAATACTAGTTTGGGAATGATAATGACATTTCATCACCTGAATTAAAACCTTGTGACCAATAAAGTGGATTAACTCCTTGATAAGAAGATTAAAGGCCAATATCTCTTTTTTGTTTGTTTGTTTTTGTTTTTTGAGACTGGGTTTCTCTGTGTACCCCTGGCAATGTACTACAGAGCTCACTCTGTAGACCAGGCTGGCCTTGAACTCCCTGGCTCTGTCTCCCAAGTGCTGAGATTAAAGGGGTGTGCCAACACTGCCCAACTCCATACCTCATGTTACATCTGGAGAAGCATCTGAGATGAAAGCTTTGATGTGTCCTACATCCGTGACCAGCAGAATAAAAGTCATAGACACTTTGGATTATTCTCAGCGAAGCTCTAGAATTCTGGAGGATTCAGTCTTACAGCAGGGGCACTGAAGGCTTGGAAGTCTGGAAAAACCACAGGGCACAGTGTTAACAGTAAAAACAGAACCGAGGGTCTCTGGAAATGCTGTGAGGTTAAAACACCCCCCCCCCCCCCTTTCCCATGAAAGTCCCCACTGTCTAATTTAAGCACTGCTCTTGGAAGGTCTCCGGAAGGTCTGTGGTAACTGCCCATCCTTTCCGCGGACCAGAAGGCTTCTTGTGCCCTCCGGACAGACGCCAGAAACCAGAAACCATCCGACAGACCTCTGGGCCTGGGCTGGGGGTGGGGCCAGTGCTGGGGGAGGGCTGGAGAATAGAGTCAGGTGACTTAACTGCCACTGGCTTTTTGATTGATCTTGTTATGGATGCGTAAATCAAGCAAGATGTGAACTTTAAACTGATTGCAACACTCTGCGTTATCAGGGTGTTCTTGGATTATTCAATTTCTGGGTTGATCTTATCTCCTGTTTCCCAAGACGAGTCGGAAAGGTTCCGTGCCCATGGCTTCACGGCCCTTTCTTTTCTCCTGCCAGGGTTCCTTGTTCCCAGAGCGTGTGCAGATGCGGAAAGTTTTATATAGCACTGCATTAGCACCTTGGGGCCTCTCCCTTGCCTATAGCAAATTCTTCACGGTTTGGAAGAAAAATCCATCCCCACTGCGTTCCTCTCCGTGTTTGGATGTATTTTAATCGCCGCGATCATCCATCTCGGGGGCCCCAGCTTTATTTTTATGTGTTACTTATCTGTTTATTCATCTTATATTTCATCTGCTCCCATAAGTCAGTCTTAAAATTTCAGTATCATCTTCAGTGTCGACAGGGTGATTTTTCATTCGAAAAGCCCCAGAAGCATCAACCTAGTTAAGCACCTGGCTCTAGTGATTCTTTTTTTTTTTTTTTTTTTCCTCAGACACAGTCAAAACTCAGCTCTGGAGGAAGAAGATGGCTGAACTGAAAACAATACCAATGAACTTTAGTCAGAATTAGGGAATCCACCAGGGATGCTGAAGTCCTCGGGACCAGAAACAGTGCAACCTTTGCAACAGCGCAACCTTCGCCACCCCGGGGCTTGAAGGACTGGCAGGACTGCTGGAATCTTAAGAAATGAGCTGTACCAGGAACCCCTCCCCCTCCCCACTGTGGATGACCTATGGGAATATAGAACCTGTAGACTGTAGGGGGAGGGAAGGAGCTGGGCAGTGAGGATCCTATTGGCTCTCCTGATCTTTGATTTTCCAGCGACTCTAGGATTTCTGGTCCTGCAGAAATCTGAGAATGGATGTGGTTTGAGCCCTAGTTAAGGCACACAGAATCTCTCCGTCGGCTTCTTCACTTTGGGCTGTGGCATTTCTCACTAGATTGTCATTATATGGGCAGGTTCTCTGTTGGTTTTCCGGGGCGACTGCATGGCAATTCTGTTTTTTATTATTTTATATGCATATAATTATTATATATTATGCATATGTAATTATAGGAAATATCAGTTTTCATCTTGGAAAAAAAAACTTTTTTATTGACCGGTCTGTACAGAGCAGATACCTATGGTATTAGTCAGATTTCTGTTGCTGTGATAACGCGCCCAAGAAAATAGAATTAAAAGTAAGAAGGTTTATTCTGGCTCACAGTCCCAAACGTTTAAATCCATAGGCATGTGGCTCCATTGCTTTGGAACTGTGGTGAGGCAGAGCATTATGGTGGGAAGCATGAGACAGAGAAAAGTTGTTTCCCTCATGGTGGCCAGGAAGCAGAGGTAGGGGAAGGGGAGCGGGAGGAGGAGACGGAGAAGCAGGGGAGAGAGGAGAGAGGGAAGGAGAACAGAAAAAGGAAGGGGAATGAAAGTGAGGGAGGGGAAAGGAGGAGAGAGAGAGAGAGAGAGAGAGAGAGAGAGAGAGAGAGAGAGAGAGAGGCGCCATGGTCCCAATAATCCCTTAAAGCTTATGTCCCATGACTTAACTTCCTCTCACCTTTTAAAGGCTTTGCCATCTCTCAGTGGTGTTATAGGCCTGGAATCCATCCCTTAGCATGAGAACCTTTAGGGGACATTTAAAACATAAACCATAAAGAATGTCACCCACATAGAGAACATACAGGAAAGGCCATTTCTCAGTCCCTGCTCCTGTCCCTCTGAACCAGGGCCTTTGAGAGGGGAACCACAGGTGTGCAGCAGCAGGTCTCTGCACTCGGTTCGAGGTGCACTGGGCTGGATGCTGTGGAGAATGAAGCGGATGCTTCTCTCAGGCGAGTGTTGCCGTGGAAGCCAGCTGTGCACAGGTATAGCCTGACTCACACCTCACCTGGCTGCACCAGTGTTTCTTCCCCACCCCAGGTCCCTCCACTACACAGGTCGGGTGACTTGGAAAAGCCTGCTGAACCATTCCAGACATGTGCAAACTTGGGGATGCTGAGGGGCTGATGAACAACCCTAGGGCCTCGCTGTTCTAATAAAGGTGGGAGTCAGCAGATAAATCACTTCCCCAGGGTTCTGAGGCAGAGGTGCAGTCTAATGGTCCAGTGAGACTGAGTGAGTCCTATTCACCCACACCAGCCTGGAAATCCACTTCTCTCTTCCAATCCCTTCGTTTTGTTCCCTGGGATCACTTCCCAAAACAAGCTAAACTATGCACAGCATAGCATTGCTTTGATCCGCGATGGGCTACATGTATAATGGTGATTATAACGGGACTGAACGTTTCTGATGCTTATTGATGTCACAAGGTGACATCACACTGTGACACATTACTGTGTTCTTGACGCTGTTGCTGGAAATGGATGGTGTTGCCAGTCGCTGACAAGCATACCCCTGCCATTGCACATAGTACTTGCTATTTGATGCTGTTAAGAAACGATACTGGGGCATCCATGGTTTATTTACAATGCAATGCTCTTAGTCATTATTTTATAGCACAATTCTTCTACTTATTAAAAAAAACTGACAGCACACAGACTAGCTTCTAACTGTCTTACACACCCACACACCCATGTGGGCCTGTGTGAAAATTCATTACCCCCACTCAGTGTTTCTAGGAATACTTTCCCATCCTTTTTAGCAAGGGTTATGGCCACTGCATAACATGGCAAACATCTGTTGTATTGCACAGGGTCAGAAGTGAGTGGGTTTGAAAGTCTCTTTGTAGTATTGTCAGCTCATCTGACTTGAAAACAATTGGCTGTGACCACTCAGCACAGCCTACGCCTACTTCACGGGCATATGACATGGTATAGGAACTTGTGCCCAAAACGGCTGCACTTTTGAGTGTGAGGTTTGACTGCTACCATATTGACATGCTTCATTGTTTAAGATGCGAACTTGGGCTCTGTAAGTGAAGAATGATGTACGCAAGCAGAGGAGGTGTGCATCATGTCTCTGTCCGTCTCCCTGCTACCCACTCCTATGCAGTAGGATGCCCCAGGAGCACAGAATTCCAGGAGATCCTTGATATAGGAAACCACCAAGAATCGTGAGGTTCAGGATTGAGTGGGGAGGAGGAGAAGGAAGGAAGGAGGTGATGAGGATGGGGAAACCATGCTTTCCACTTGTTGAGGATTTGCGTTGAGAGGGTTAACACCCTTAGGTTGACAGCAGTGACAGTCACCTAGAAGACAAGCCTTGGGGCTTGCCTGTAAGGAGTTGTCTACACTAGATAAGCTTCAGGGCATGCTTTTAAGGTATTATCTAGACTAGGCTAATTGAGGTGAGAGGACCCATCCCATGGGTTGGCGTCCTGGACTGAATAAAAAGGAGAAAGCCAACTGAACACACAGACTTCTCTGCTGCCTGACTATGGCCTCAAGACCCTGCCACCATGATGTCCCTGTGATGATGAACTGTGCCCTCTTTCAGCTGCTTTAGCAGCCGTTTTGTCCCAGCAACAAGACAAGTAGCAAATACATGTTTGAAATGCAGAAAGAAGCCACCGGGGTTCTGATAGATGTGGACAACCAAGGAATCCCATCATAGACAGCTTCGGGGTCTGTCTGTATATCAACCAGTCCCTTAGACAGCAAACGAGGACACAGGTCTTTTTCCTTTCCATCCTGTCTTACCAATGATGGTGGGGAGTGTTGTGGGGTGTGCGTTTACTGAGAGAGGAAATAAAAACAGTGTAGCATGGGGCTGGAGAGATGGCTCAGTGGTTCAGAGCACTTGCTGCTCTTCCAAAGGATCCAGGTTCAGTTTCCAACACCAACATGGCAACTCAGAGGCAGGTAACTCCAGTTCCAGGGGATCCTGGTGCCCTCCTCTGTCCTCTAAGGTACCCACCTCCATATGCATACACTAATACACATATAAACACACACACACACACACACACACACACACACACACACATGAGAGAGAGAGAGAGAGAGAGAGAGAGAGAGAGAGAGAGAGATCTTATAAGACAGCAATAGTGTGGCTCGTGTTGTTTTTCTACTGTTTGGATTATCGAGAAGGTTGAAATATACTTGTGCCGGTTAATTTTATATCAACTTGATACAAGATAGAGTCATCAGAGAGGAAGGAATGTCAACTGTAATAAAAAAAAGTCTCCATGACGTTGGGCTGTAGGCAAGCTTGTAGGGGATTTTCTTAATTAGTGATTGATGGAGGGCCCAACCTGCTGTGGGTGGTACCATCCCTGGGCTGGTGGTCCTGGGTTCTATAAGAAAACAGGCTGAGGGAACTAGGAGAGCAAGCCTGGGTAAGCAGCAACCTTTGATGACCTCTGTATTAGCTCCCGCCTTCAGGTTCCTGCTCTGTGTGAGTTCCTGCCCTCACTACTTTTGATAAGGAAATATTATATGGAACTGTGATTGAAATAAACCCTTTCCTCCCCAAGTTGCTTTCGGTCATGGTGTTTCATCTCAGCAATAACCTAAGATAACACTCGTACACAAAAATGCAAGTTTAAAAAGAAATGAAAATGTGGTATATGTAACATGGGGTGGGCTGCTTGTTTGTTGGGGTTTTCTGTCCCGCCCAGCCCCCCAGCTAATTAGTCCCAGAGAAAAATCACACACAGATCTCTGTAAGTTATAAAGCTGATTGGCCCTTTAGGTCAGGCTTCTTATTAGCTAACGCTCACATCTTGATTAACCCATTTTTCTGATCTATGTTAGCCATGTGGCTCAGTACCTTTTTCAGTGGGGCAGCTCACATCCTGCTGCTTTGGTGATCTGGGCAGGAGTGGGGGAATCAGCTTTCTCTTCCCCAGAATTCTCCTGCTCTCCTTGCATCATTTCCATCTCCTGTCTGGCGCCTACACCTTCTGCCTGGCCAATCAGTGTTTATTTAAAACATGAT